TTTTTTCCCTTTTTTTTCTCTCTGTTGACGGACACGGGCGGTTTGTGCGGTGCTCCTCCAGCACACAGATGGCACAGATACAGATCTGGTCCGTGCGGCAGTACACCTCCAGAAGCCGGTGGTGCAGTGGGCAGGTGCGGCCGCGAAGTGCTTCCCGGGGCTCCAGGAGCTGGTGGTTGGCGTAGAAGGGCGTGTTCAGGTGAGGCTGCACATGGGCCTCGCAGTAGGACGCCGTGCAGGTCAAACACGAGCTGATCGCCGCTTGTTTTTTCCCTGTGCACACGTCACATTTGATCATCTCCTCCAGAAACGGGTTGCTGTGGGCCATGGCTCCCGGTGTCTTCATGTCCAACATGTGCGGCTTTCCCGTGCCGTAGCGAGCTTCTTTGTATTTCTCTGCGATATGGGCGAAGACTCGGTTGATGTTGAGCTGAGGCCGCTCGGGGAACTGATGCTTGCAGAGCGGGCAGGTGCAGGTGGCGCTGGAGGCCCAGTAGCCTCCGATGCAAACCTGGCAGAAGTTGTGTCCGCAGGGCGTCGACACTGGGTCGTTGAACAGGTCCAAGCAGATGGAACAGGTCAGTTCCTGCTCCGAAAACAGCTCCAGGACCCCCGCCTCAGCCGTCATTGTCTCCTACGGGTGAGACAACATACTAGATCACACAAAAACATTGAACTAGGCCCATAGGTCAACACATGGGTCACAAACATTGAACTAGGCCTTTATAGGTTCAATAAACCAGATTGGTGTGTTGTAGAGGCCGATGACTCATGCAACTCTAACTAGGCTATCATTATTACTGGGCTATATATGTCTTCAACTTCCTTCAATACAAGTAGGCCTACAACCACAAGGCCATCTTTTGCCATCACCAGTTCAATAACCAACACAGAGCACAACAATTGGCCTACTAATTCTACTGCTGGTTGATGTTAGCTGACAAGGACTTAGGCTAGGGATTTAGAATTTAGCCTTCCATCTGAGGACTGCCCAAGCTGTTGAGAGTGTGGGTGTGTGGTGGTGACCCAAGTTAACATGCTGTTGATTGAGAAGCGCCCAGAGGGATGTTATCTCACCAACAGAAACCGCTTTGAAAATCACAACTGGATAGTTTTAGAATGGGCCAAGGCCTATTAACCCTTACAAGGCAAGCAAATGATGGTCACAAAATACAAGGGCTGATAAACAACTTAGCCCAAAATATGTCTGTTACAGTAAGGGCTGCATCACAAATAGTCAGTAATTCCTAAGCAACATTTTTATTAAGCATTTTGACTATGCATTCTAAAAGATAACTAAACCTGACCCTGTCTAGGTGTGTATTTTTGAGTGGGCTGAACACACCTTACCCGATCCCAGAGTAGTATTTTTAGCCTGTTTTCAGACTTGTTTGTTTTAGATTAGAGATAAGAGGTGTGTCTGACAGTGGACAAACTCTCACTGGTATGCACAGGTGCATTGTAGGCCGCCTCCACCGGGATTGGCCAAACACCTGTTTACAATCAGTGCTGATTCAGGCCAAGGGTGTATCTCAATAGTCTAAAGTGGCTACCTCTCCTCACTTCCTCGCTTTCATTTTCACTGATCCTCATCAATCTAGGTCTTCCAGATCAGTGCAGATGCAGGAAAGGAGATATTGAAAGGAAACCACTTTAGACTATTGAGATTAACCCAGAGGCACATTTGCGTTAAATAAATACTTTTTGGAATCTTACAATACTTGTTGCCTATGATCATTAACTGATCGCTATTATGGTCTTACCCTAGCCCAATAATGAACTAAAGGAGCCTACAGTGACAACATGTTTGTGGTGTCCATCTTCCATTTACACACAGGTGTTCAGAGACGCAGATGGTTACATGGAAATGTGGCTGTGTGGGAACCCTAACCCTATAAAGATGTGTAGTAAATTAACCTTTAAAAAAAAAAAAGTAGTTGTTGCTGATATGAAAGATACGTTCCGCAAGCGATGCGTGTTAATGTTTAGAGCAAGCGTCGGGGCTCTTAACAGAAATCCCACCGTCAGAAGATACTATCGTCAATAGATGCTAAAGCAGTTCCTGTCTATGAATGGGGGTAGTCTTAGCCATGCCTAAATTTTTTACATAGGTGTAAAGAGGGACATGGATGAATTCATGCAAGTCACGTACCACAGCAAGGAATTTTGACTCCCAAAACAAACAACGGTAAACGCACAATTCTGAGTCTGGTTTTTCAGAATGCTCTCCACTAGTCAATTGATATTTCTGGTCCTGCAGCATTCCATTATATTTTCGAACACTCACTCCCATGCTGTGTGTGGGATTTCTCAACAGAATTCCTACAGTGCACCTTGTGTGCTCTCATAATCCCTCCTGAAAGCACAACAATAGACTGCATTACCCCACATAGGCCTAATGGGAGCACACAAATGCACGAGAGGTCGAAATAATTATTCTGCCATGCTACTTGAAACTGACAGACAGACAAACGTCAGACATGCAATTTCAACTGATATGTGAGCTCATGGCTTTCATCCCACCACGTTTTAAGAATAGAATAGTCACTGAAGAATAATCTCTGATTCCAGTACTTCCATTATCATTTGAACACAGGTCTCTGACCACAGGTACATTTTCTGACAGACATACTGGCATTTAATTTCCAACATTGCCATAATATAATTCTCCACTTAGAGGCGGGGGACTCCATACTTCCGATGCTTTACAACACAATTTAACATGTAATCTATCAGGTTCCTCATTACTTATGTTGTAGTTTGTCCCAAAAGAAGACTCCCTTGTCCACCCATTAATCTACCTGTGTGGCATGCTAGTGATTTTCCTCTCTCGGTGACCTGAGAACTTATCAGGACACTGATGCCACAGGGCTTCACATCTGAGCCAATGGAAAATAACAGGTGTATCTCTGTATGCTCTGTAGATAATAGTCAGTTTTGTTGTGTGCGTGGCTTAGATTGTCTCAGATATGAGTGGATGTGGATGTCATAGCATACATGCTGTCAATGCATGTGAACTCCAATGCTCCATCTCCCTCAATAGAAACAACCATGGCCTCATTGCGATGCAGTAAATTACTCTCTTCCAACCCTAAGACCTTTAAAAATGTATTTCTTTGGAAAGTGATCCGTAAATCCAACAAATAAGTTATATAACCTCAAAAACACGGGGACATACTTTCAAGCTTCCCTGCCAGTCAGGTAAACAATATCCAATGTCTTATCTACTCTTATTTACTACTGCCAACTGCAGGCTGTCAACAGGCCGATTCTTGTGTCCATGCGGCTTCTATCAGCTTGGCCCAATGCCAAATGGCTGTCCAAAGCCCAGGTTTAATTTACTGTATCCAGTTGCATGGATGTTACCATCCAAAATGACATGACACATGCATTGTACTAGCTTTTATACTTTAAATGATTGGCGCTAGCTTGTCAAACCTGTTCACCAGCAAGTTGCGGTGAGGTTTGTATGTAACCAACACTATGTAAATGGCTGTGTAAGAATGGAGAATAAAATACAGTCAATGGTTGTCCTGTACTGAGGCTTACCTGGAAACTTCTCAGTGACTAAACCACTGTCAATCAAGGAAGAATGGTATCTGCCAAACTGGGATTTTCACTGTTATATGTTCAGATGATAATGTCACTGTTTAGTTGTGAGTGTTTAATTTTGAAACTTATCTGACCCACATTAACAGTCAAAAGATTGGTTGGAATGAAAACATAAGAATCGTTGCTCTCATAAAGAGTATTTACAGTACTGTAACTGTACAGCAGTCAATATTGCTACACAAAAAACATTGTATGAGCTATTGGCGTAATTGTATTACAATACATAGGCATATTTCACATACAAATAATATATTTTTTGAATTGCTATAGGCTACTCTAGATCCTGTTACAAAAATTGTTGACACACAAACGTACCTTATATCTATTTTTCTTCTGGGTGCTTTCTTCTGCAATGGAGTTGAAAGAATGAAATAAGTCTGTGACTTTCCTACAAAGCTGCTGCACCACTGCCAAAAAAGGTACTTCCAGCTAGTCAGGTATATGTGTGATTGTGCGTGGGTGTGTGTTGTGATGGGTTGTTGACAGCAGCTTGCACAATAGGCAGGTGAGTGGGGGAAACAACTACAGTGCCCTGAAAGTATTCACACCCCTTGACTTTTTCCACATTTTGTTGTTACAGCCTGAATTTAAAATGTATTACATTTAGATTTTGTGTCACTGATCTACACGTTTTTAGAAATGTTTACAAATTAATAAAAATGGAAAGGTGAAATCCCATGAGTCAATAAGTATTCAACCCCTTTGTTATGGCAAGCCTAAATAACTTCAGGAGTAAAAATGTGCTTAACAAGTCAGATAATTTGCATGGACTAACTGTGTGCAATAATGGTGTTTAACATGATTTTTTAATGACTACCCCATCTCTGTACCCCACACATACAATTGATCTGTAAGGTCTCTCAGT